GGAGGGAAATCAGGCCGAGACGGTCAAGAAGGGTAAAGAAGAGAAGAACGGCGATCACCCGGGAGATCGGGGAAGAGTAAAACACTCGGGCTGTCACATCGCGACCAGGCTGAGCGGAGATACGGGTACCCTGTTTGCAGCGGGGACCAGTCGTGCTTGGATGTTGACCTCGATTGTGATCCTCGACTGTGGAGGAAACTCAGCTCAGTGTAACCGATACAACACCCCTCCCCCAATTCAATCTTATATTTTTCCTGCATAACTTCTCACATCCAATCACTTGATTGACCTTCCAACTTCCTAAAACAGGATTCTAACCCTTCATGATTACACAAAACCAATATGCCAGGGCCCAATAAAAATCATATGCTCAATTCCCATTCTGATGTCACAATTTTAAGGGGAGCAAGCAAAAAAGAGTCCACCTGAACAAAAAAAGTGGTTGAATATTTTGCTTCACTGTTAACCAACTCTTGAGTATTATATATTCTATGTAGCTTAGTGAGATATTCCAGTAATACTGTCAGTATCAAAAAAACTATATTCATCTTCTAGTAAGAAACCTAAATCAATATACAGCAGTTTGGGAAAAGGGTGACTTGGTTTTCAAGGATTTTCCATAGCCAACTCAAATTAACTACTAAATTTGGTGCTACTTTCAAACTTTGAATCTACAGCAGAAAAGCATGAGGACTCCAACTATAGATTTCCCCTAGAATACTCATTTGCACCCTCCATCTCCACCTTGGTGATCCATTGATGGTGTTCTGAGCATTTTGGAGGGGCCTATTGAAATCCAAATAACTGGTCTGATATGGTGTATGGGTTCCATGTTTCATTCAAATCAAATTACTACAAATTAGGACTGGTGGAGTTTGGAAATTGGACTGCAAGGATTTTTAGCATTTCAGCTGTGAATGTTATATCTTTCATTGTTAGATTCAATAGGAAAGCTTGGATGGGTGATGAAGAACCAGCTGTGGAAAATCATTGACAAGAATCACACACTTTGAGAGGTCTGCATCTGTTACAGCCCATTTTCTTGAAAAACTAGCCAGGCAGAGGAAAAAAGTGTGGTTTAATGCCACAAGTAGACAATGTCTAAGTGCTTATTGATCTTACTCAAGTGGGCTCAAGTACACTTGGAAAAAGGCTGAGAAGAGGCTCAAGTTTCTTTAGGTTTCAGAGTCAGTTTCATGTATCCCACACACCTTCATTACACATTTCACATTGATGTCACATGTTGTTGTAGTATACCTGGGTCAGCTCATCACTCATGGAAGAATCCTTCTCCTTATTTGTTCACATCATCTGCTGTACCAGCTTGAGTCCCTGATCATCTCATAAATTGCCTGCTCAGGATCAGTCAAAAGCAGGACTGATGATTTTTCATTTATAAGTATCTAGACAATATAAATAATCTTGGTGGGAGCAGAAATTTAAGACCAAAATGAATGGTAATTCAAGCTTGAATAACATACAGGTGACATGTAAATGATATAATAAGGAAGTGAGAAAAATTTCAAGTGCAATTCCAGCAAACTTCAGAATCTTTCCATTACCAGTTAAAGATCAAGTTCTTTCAACTTTATCCATTGTAGTTAATATGTTATGTGAATAATTGTTTCTGCCTGATTTTGTTTTGTGGAATTAAATTCCCATCTCTCATCACAAGATATATGGTGTTCAATATTGCCTAAATCAATTTTACTTATTTTCATAGGGGCTTGGTTAATTGTCTTTCAAGAATTGGGGAGTCATCTCCCAAACCCCTGGGATGTCCTGAGGATAGTCTCAGGACGTACCCCACCCCTAATTGCCAGTCTCCTGCAGGAATGGGAGTTGATTACCCAAAAACATCAATAAAAAATAAAGAAACCCCTGGATGGTTTGTCAGTCAATGTCCCAAAACCCTCTGGTGGGATGGCAGTAGGCGCCTACAAGCCCTGCTGACTAGTGCTGTAACCCAGCTACTGGGTCACCTCCAGACTCACTAGACCATAGTGCATGTAGCTCGAGTGAGCGAGTTTGAGATAATAATAACAATTATCATCACAAACCACATCAGGTCATGAGCCCTCATCTCAACATTTCGACAAAACTTTATCATTACCCAGCGTAGGGCGGATCGATTTTTTATTTTCAAACAACACTCTCAAATAACGACCCAGCTTAGGGTAGGAAAACTCATCCGGACAACTCAACAAATTCAACCCGTCATCGACTGTCATACCCAGCGTAGGGCGGAGTTTTAGAATTGGCCGGACCGCCTAGTTTGAAAGTAGCGAGTACGTTCGGAAGCCAGAGACTAGCTACCTCGTCCCGATACCTTGGTACCTAGGGGGCCAACGTTTGTACAAGCAACGCTATAACGAAAGCGCTAAGGTTTTTCTCTTTTTCTCCACTTGACAGCTCCGACAACCATCAATCCTCTTCCGTTCTTCAATCGATCTCTCCTCTCAATCAACCTTTTCTTTTTTCCTTTCTTCAATCAATCTCTTCCCTCAATCAACCTTTTCCTTCTTTTCCTTTTACCTCAATTCTCACTTTCTTTACCACCTCCTCTTTTGTTTCTTTCCTTTTCCCCCTGATCACACTCTTCCATCTCCTTTTTCCTCAACCCCATCGTTCTCTCTTCCCTCATTTATTTTCCTTCCTCTTTTTTCCCCACCAAATCCTATGGCCTCCGACATCCGCAACACACATTCCCCCCCCCCCCAGACCAACAATCCGTGGCACAACAACCCTCATCGTCCTAACCCTCGGAACTCGCCAACGGCGTTGGCCATCAATGCTGACAACAGACCCGGTTCCCAACATCAACATTCCCGGAGCAGGAGCCGGAATGCTCCACGAGATCGCCCAAACGATCGCCGACGAGATGACGAGGACGACGGCGATGTTCCTATCTACACCGCCAATGAAGTCAACCGTTTTCTAGCGGAGGCGTCAGTCCAGTCGCTCTACCAAGGGAAGACGCCGGGACAGATCGTATCCAACGTCGTCTCCAGGATGTCGAATGCTGATAAACTCCAGCCTAATGGATCCAACTTCGCCGTCTGGGAGCTGATGATGAGAGAACAAGCTCTCAAGATTTTCAGAAACCCAACATGGTACACTAAACCGTGCGTGGATCCGTTCCAGGAACAAATAGGACGATCACTCCTGCTCGCGACCGTCGACAGCAACATGCACCGAAGCATGTTACGCCAACCTAACTGCCTTGAAATGTTCGCGTACCTGAATTCAAGATTTTTCACGGTAACTCGAGCGGAACAATTGTTGTGCTGGGACAGATTGATCAACCTGAAGATGTCCGATTTTTCAAGCAGCGCCGAAGCGGTAACCAAACTCTATGAGACTCTTGACGACTTCATCAGTTACGGACTAGACATCAATCGAGAAACGATTGGAGGTCTCGCGCTACAGAGTTCCATCGAGCCAGGTACCGAGTTACGCAAAGAAGTGGATCGCCGAGTCAAACAGGACCTGGGCGGTTCCAGCAAGACGCTGTCAAAGAAAGCAGTCACGCCGGATCAGATCCTAAAGCACATCGACATCGTTAAGAGACAACTCGATTTGGGCCCATCACGAGCGAATACCTTCTCCAGCTCCCTGCCACAAGCACGTCAATCGGCCGTCGCCATTTCCGATCAAGCGAAGGAGTTCTACGATCCTCAAACCGAGCAGGTAGAGGGCCTAGCGACGACAGGTCCCCAATGCTGGAACTGTCAATCGACTGATCACTGACTCATCAAATGTCGTCTCCCAAGGCGGGCAGACTTTGACAGACCCCCTTTGACATTCAATGCAATTCAAAGACCACCTCATCTTTCTAGTGGATACAGATCGAACAACGCTCCGGTGCTAGCGCCTGGAAACTTCCAGGCATGGTACCCGATTGTCACCCCGCCGGGATATCAGCATTGAGGTTTCCAATCGACTCCGTCACCCTATGCACCTCCGTTACCCGCTTCCGGTGGACACCAAGCTGGGAAGCAAGCCGACTCGTACCAACCCGACTACCAACAGAGACCCCCGGCCCAAACATCAAGACAACACGGTCAGACATCGGCTAACTCAGCTGATGTGCCAAACCCACCCGATCAACCAGAATCAACCCACGGGTATTACCGCCCACCGTCTCCGATCCTGGAGTCAAAATCAAGGATGATTGAGATCGGAGTATTCGATGAAGGTCTCCAGAATGGGGTAATCCCAAATTTTCGCCAAATCACTCTGGATGACGGTGATGAACCCATGTTGGACACCGGGGCAACGCATCACTTGACTGGCAACAGGTACGCACTCCAAAACTTTCGTCTCCTAAAAAATCCTATTCCCCTCCGTGTGGCCACTAAAGGAGGCGGTTCCTTTATCACAGGGGCTGGGGACCTCTCTTTTCCGACCCGGAATGGGCAAATCGCAATTCTTAGAGGAGTGCTTTATTGTGAGCAAGCCTCTTCAACTCTCATCTCTTTGGCAGCTCTGAGAAAGGCTAACTCAAAATTCCTCTACAATCACGTAGAGGATGCCTTCCATATATTTTCCCCACATTGGCTTCTGCTCTTCAGCTGCCAGTTCCGCAGGACTACCAATAAATGGTGCCTACCTCGGCCACTTCCTCCAAATCCATCTGGAGAACCCACATCTATAATTTCTCTTTCTGCCTCTCTTCATTCTCCTGTTTCTTCTTGTTCTCAACCGAATTC